GTGGTGGTGGTGGTGGTGGTGGTGGTGGAGGTGGTGGAGGTGGTGGAGGTGGTGCTGGGTACCTTGCCTGCCCTGCACCATCCTCCCAATCGCCCACACGACTGACCCCACTGGTACTGTCACCGGGTCGATCCCTCTTCGGGAGGACCTTCCTCTCTTTCTCTGACTGTCCACTTCAGAGGATAAAATCTGGTTCAAAGGACTGGTCCCTCCTGACACCAGGCCCAAGTATGTGGGACAAACATCCACTGACAGGGAACTCCCAGAAATTCAAGCTGGATTCAGAAGAAGCTGTGGAACAAAGGTTAGCAGTGCTGACGGCAGATGGATCTTGGTTGAGAGTTATCAGAAAGAGACCTACCTACGTTTTATTGAGTATTGCAAAGGCATAATCATAGATGATAGGATTTTGACATGTGAATTGTAACAAATTATAGCTAACAATTAGAAGAATGGGAATCTCAGAACACATAACTGCGCTCTGGCAAAATCTGTACCTAGACCAAGAAGCAGTTGTCCAAGCAGAACAAGACAAACCCGTGTGGTTTAAAATCAGGAAAGGAGCGTGTCAGGATAGTATCCTTTCTCCATTCCTAGTCAACTGTTAGCTGAGAAACTCATCTGAGAAGTCGGAATGCGTGAAGAAGAACGTGGCATTGGGATCAGAGGAAGACTCATTAGCTACGTGTATTATGCAGATAACACCACCTTGACACAAATGGCAGTCACTGAGATGGTCTTTCCTCCTCATTCCTCCCTCTATCACATTACAAGAGAGACCAGCTGAGAGAGCTGGATGAGAAGGTCCCACCCACAGGGCCCCTGACATCTTCCCAAGACTTAGGAGGCATGGAGTGGAGTTCTGTGCTAAGAGCCCGGGTGGTTCTTGCTCATAGTGACCTGTGCAGCACAGGGACACCCATCCAGTCCTGTACCTCACAGTCACTGCAGCACCGGGACACCCCGTCCACCCATACCTCACACACCGTCACTGCAGCACAGAGACACCCCATCCATCCGTACCTCACACACCGTCACTGCAGCACAGGGACACCCCATCCATCTGCACCTCACACACTCTCACTGTTGTGCTGAGTCCGTTTACTGCAGCGAATACTGTCGCTCCATCTCACTGAGGGACTTCCTCTTTTTCACTGACTTGTGACTTTATTGACCACAGTATCTTTCTCCAAGGACTGGCCCCTCACAAACACATGCCCAAAGTATCTGAGATGACCTCTTGTCAGCAGCACATGACCATGACTAGGATCTGTCCGGATGGATTCAATGTCATAACAATTAACCCCAATATGCTATCTGCAGAGGCACTGTTAGGGTCAGTTACTTAAGGAGCCGGTGGCACGGGCTCCGTGTCAACACGTGCATCGGAGACCACCACCTGAGCATACCTGGCGTCATTACTACATATTGTGCTGTTGCACGCCGTGGGGGCAGAACCAACCCATAGCTGACCCTGCAGCAGGTTTTCAGAGGCAGTAAATTGCACTGGAGGAGACTGCCCAACCTGCTGGTGGATTCGAACCATATGCCTTTGGGATTGCAGTGCAGCTTCTTGCCACTAGACCACTAGATCTATGGGTGTATCTAAAGCATAAGGATGAGGGAGTCTGGCTGAGAGATGGTGTTTGGGGCAGAGAGGAGAAGAAAACGGACACTGACGTTCTGGAGAGAGGTGGCCAGGGATGAGAAGCACGGGGGGAAAAGGCTGCAAAGGCCATGAGGGCCAGACCAGAATGGGTTCTTGTCAAGATACTAGGGAAAGAGAACCTTCCACTGAGACTCCCAGGAGGTACCTGATGGGGCTTAGAAGGGAAGCAGGGAAAAGGCCAGAGCCAGCAGCTGAGAAAGATGCCCTGGTGCTTGTGGAGAAGGATCTGGAAGAGGGCGATGACGGCCTCTACTGCAGCGGAGACAGGAGATGGGAAGGAATGACGGGATGGTTCCAGAAAGGTCCAGAGTAAGTACCGTCTGCTTTGCGGACCACACAGTCCCTGTCACAGCAGCTCGGCCCTGCTGCTGCCGTATGAAGGCAGTCCGAGACAATATGTAAATGAGCAGGCATGGCTGTGTGCCAATAAAACTTTACTAAACCAGATGGCAGCCCAGATTTGGCCCGAAGACTGCAGTTTGCAAACCCGAGATATAAAGGATCATAATCAGGAAGGACAAGTAGAGAAAAAAAACAACAACTTGCTGCCGTCGCGTCAGTCCTGACTCGTGGCGAGCCAGGGCGTCGCAGAGTAAGGCGTCCCTCCACGGGGTTTTCGTAGCTGTCATCTTTATTGAAGGAGATTTCCAGGCCTTTCTTCCATGGTAGTGCTGGTGGATGCAAACCATCAACCTTTCTATTAACAGCCAAGTTCAAACTATTTGTTGTGCCACCCAGCAGCACAGATGACGGCGGAATTCTGAGATGATGAGTGCTCAGTTCTGACATAAAGCAAATATCACTTTCCCAGTGCACAGAACAGTCATGTTTTTACTACACTGCGGCCTATGAAGTGTGCAATTATACGATGAAGAGCGAAGTATTAGGAGCCTTGGAGAGATGCAGAAAGACTGGCTCAATGCGGGGCTCACACAAATCTTCAGTTTGTGGAAAATGCACTACCTGCAAAGTGTAATAAGTCCTAAGTGCCGTACAATGAGGTGGCCTCATAGCAACATAAGGAAAGGAGAGGAAATCTGCAGGTGAAGAAAGCAGATACGGTCATGCCTGATTGGGGTGACAGGGAAGCAGAGAGGTCCAGAAGAGGACACAGCCACACTCACGTCTCAACACTAATCCTCTCATCGGAGTCCCTTATCACCTCCCAGAGGTCTCACACACGTACCATGCGCACACATGCATGTACACGCACATAGATGCTCATACACCCTCTTCCAAGGTCCCCTCCCTTGGCCACACCCGCTTTTACCTGAACCCCTGAGTTCATTCTCCACACAGCCCTGAGTATTAACACAGAGCCAGTCCAAATCAACTGTGATTCTCCCAGGCCTCAGCCCACTGCAGAGGGCGATTCTCAAACACTCAGACCTCCCCTGAGGCCCTAATGTTTGCAATGAGATGATCAATTAACCTTGACCTGGTCTGTTTGCAGAACAAAAGGCCCTTCACCTCTGACTTTGCTGGGGTCCTCCATTCACTCACTCTCCCACACAATTAACCCTCCACCTCTGGCATGTGGGAGTCAGCTCTGTCCTTTCAAGACCTGACCGCCAGGTGGGTGGGCGGACACAACAGCCATGGGCCTCAGCCTTGCCTCTCTGTGTCCCTGAGGGTTTGGACAGTGCCTGAAGCCCTCATGCTGCTCAGTTCTCCGGTGTCGTGTCCAGTGTCCCTGGCTCTGGATGGAGCCCGAGCTCCACCGGCCCCAGGAGTTGGCACCAGGCTCCACCTGCACACCTCTGCCCACAATGGCCGCTCTCTCTAGGGCCGCACAGGGACACCTTGCTCTACTGCACCTCACAGCAACTGCATTTTTCACTAACTGCAGGTTTCTGGCAGCCCTGCATTAAGAAAGCTTATCAGCTTTTCAAGCAGGAAGTGCATAGTTCACATCTCTGTGCGACACTTTGTAATCCTCACAGCAATTCACGCTTTCTCCTCACGTTACAGGACACTTAGTAGACTACTCACTGCTGTTAAATCAGAACTCACGGCTGACCCTCCAGCAAGTTATCAGAGGCTGGAAACTGCACGGAAGGAGAGAATGTCCATCCTTCTCCCCTGGCTGCCCACCAGGTGACCTGGCCAGCAGCACAGGCTTGCTCAGCACACACAGTGCCTACATGGACAGCCTCCCCCTGACCTCAGGGCCAGCACCTCATAAACTTGATGCTGTCAGTGACCACTGAGTCAATCTCTGCTGATGGCGACGCTCGGGGTGCAGGGTGGAACCGCTCACAGGGCTTCCAAGGATTTACAGGGATGAGGGAGGGAGAGGGAGCAAAAATCATAATCAGATACGTGCAGGGAAGGGGACTATACGATAAAGGTGTGGGTGGACATTTAATTCATTAATCAACTCTAATCCGTGCGAGAAGGATGGGCAGTCTCCTCCCGTGTGATTAACTGCCTCTGAAAACCCACAGGAGGGTCACCTACGGCACGGTTCTGCCTCTGTGGTACACAAACAAAAACAACTATTATTGTTATAAAGCAACACACATATGAATGATTGGCTAAAAACCCAGTAAGACTTATAAATTTTCCCTTAAATAAGATTTTTCAACATTTTTAAAAGTCAAAAGGCTTTTGTCTTGGAAACAGATTGCCAGGGTCTCTTCCTAGGCACTTCTGGGTGCGTTTGAACTGCCAAACCTCTCAGCAGTAGTGCACTGGACTGTGCCTCTCAAGGACTCCCTCTGAATCTTAGCACCCCAAAGAGCAAATGAAAGAGAAGAGACCTAACAAAAGCTAAGCAAAAGATCTGACTGCAAGACCTTCCCATTCTCTGGCCTGGCACCAGCAGCATAAATGCACCCTCACCTGTAAGAACTACCCAACCTCCGGGCCTCTTCCAATGACACGGTTGACGTTCCCACACTGGAAGAACCTGCCACCACCACTGATCTCCAAAATCTCACCCAGAGATAACCCCAAGATGTATCCTGGAGCAAGAAGGAGGATCATATGCCTCGAACTTCAGCAAAGTATCAGAAATAGGGAAATGAGGCAGGTGAGCAATTTAACTTGGAAAACCTGTCACTTTTCTTCTGGTTGGCTGTTCCTGAACCGCGCCAGAGTCCCCGTAACCCCGTAACCTCATGTTCGATGAAGCAAAACGCCACCAGGTCCAGTGCCAGTCTCGTGATTGGCTGCAGACTGGACTTGGTGACCACAGGGCTTGGTCACTGGCTGATTTTTTTCAGGAGTAGAGAACTAGTCCTTATAAGTGTGGAAGCTCCACTGAAACTTGCCCAGCAGCACGCAGCCCCCACCAACAGACGGGGGGGGAGGGGGGGTGCACGTAAGGTGCATTGGCTGGGATTCAAACCCAGGTCCCCTGCATGGAAGGCAAGAGTTCTACCACTGAGCCACCCCTGCCTCAGAGTGGTAAGGAGTTGTGCTGCCAATGTAAAGGTATGTAGTTCGAATCCATCAGCTCCTTCTCAAGATAAAGAAGAGCAATAAACTCCCATGCCGTTTACTGGATCTGAAAACCCACTAGAGGGTCTCCTGTGGGTTGCCTCTGACCTCACAGTACACACCAACAAGAGCTGGCCTTGAATCTGGTCATTTCAGGCCTAGACACTCAGTGGATGCCATGACCATTTCTCCTTCTTTTGTTCTGAAGGGACCCTTATCATTTCTCTTTCCCTCCCTCCCTCCCTCCCTCTCTCTCCCTCTCCTTCCTTTCCTCCTTTTTCCTCTCCCTTCCTCTCTCTTCACCTCTCTCCCCCTCTCCCTCTCTCTCCCTTTCTCTCTCACTCTCCCTCTCACTCTCACCCTCTCTGTCCCTCTCCCCATCTCTCATTCTATTTCTCTCTCTCTCTCTCTCTCTCATATTCTTCTGTGAAGCTGGATCAGAATGTTAAAGACGGAGAGAAGGAGAGAAATGCATGCAAACCCCCCTCGGGGGGAAAACACTGCCAGTGCCCACATCTGTCACTTCCAGATACTTGTCATTATGTGGTCCTTCATGGCAGCTCCACACGGCCAGATAATGACATCAGCAAAAGTCGGGCGCCTGGAAAAGCACAGATTGTTCATCCACATTCTCCTGCAGGAATCTTCTCCGTCCTTCGAACGACAACTCACAGAAGCTGAGCAGGATTACGGACACTATTAGGCAAATCAAAGACCGATGCAAGGGTCTCCTGCCTCCTGGAGCCTGATCAGGCAGGACCACCAGCCACACCGTCTCAGACGGGCTGAGGTGCCCACTCTTCCCTCCCCACCACCAGCTTGTTGGGCAGCTGCAGAGAGGAGACAAAAAGCAAAGGAGGGCAGGAGGGAGCAACTGGGAATCCCTCAGGGAGAAGATTCCAGACTGTGAAGAAGACAGAAAGGAAGCTGAAAGACGCAAGGAGCAACACCACAGGCAGTGAACTTCCACTTGTTCAAAAAAAAAACAAACACAAAACCAGGTTACGCTTCTAGGTGGACATATACACACATGCAAACCCCAGCCAGAACCCAAATCAAATCCACAGCCATGCAGCGGATTCTAACTCAGAGCGACCCGCTTATAAAATAAATCAGAGCTGCCCGTGAGGGCGCGAGGCTGCAAGCCTTGATGAAAGCAGGCTGCCTCTCCTTCTCCTACAGAGCAGCTGGTGAACTTGAACTGCCAACCTTTGGGATTGTTGATGAGTACCTTAAGCACAGTGCCACTGAGGTCCCCATACAGGCAAAATCAGAGTGCAAATGAACTGTCCAACAGCAGGGAAATGATTGAGCAGGTCACACTAAGGCGGCAGAAGGCTGTGCAGATATTATAGAGTGGCAGTAGGTAAAATTATTTTAAAGATTAAAAATAACACTGAGAGGGCACAGACCAATTCCAACAGTGAAAATGTGTGCACGTTCATATATAAGGAAGAGAGGAGTGCTCTAACTAGGCAGGCTCTTACTACGAGGACCGTGAGTTAAGGCTCGCTCAAACGTTGCAGGAAGACAGCCAAGTGCACCTCAGTATTTTAAAACATAATAAAACCAGCTTTCTTTCTAAAAGTGGAAGAGAAAAGTAAAACCAGGAGGGGTGGACGTCCACTACATCAATGGCCATGGTTGACTCATAGACTTCTGAGAAGGGGGTTGTTGTTGTTATGTGCCGTTGAGTCACCTGCGACTCATAGTGACCCTCTGTAACAACAGCCCTAAACTCTGTCCTATCCTGTGCCAATCTCACCATCTCCGACACACCTGCCCCCATTAGTACCCCAGTCACTGAATCAATCCATCTCATCAAGGGTCTTCCCTCTCCTGCTCTGTCCCTCCACCCTCCCAAGCATGACGTCCCTCTTCAAGGACTGATCCTGCCTTGCAACATGCCCAAAGTATGTCAGACGAAGCTTCAGAATCCTTGCCTCCAAGGAGCAGCCTGGTTTCACCCTCTCCAGGACAAACTTGTTTGTTCTCCTAGTAGTCCATGGTATATTCAATACTCTTCTCCAGCACCACAGCTCAAAGGCATCAATTCTCCTTCTATCATCCCTATTCGCTGTCCAGTCTCTGATGCATAGCAAGTGATTGCAAAGACCAACGGGGTAGAAAGAACATTAGAACTTTCACTTTTTAAAAATGTTTTCAAATAATGAGTACCTTAACCACAGTGCCACTGAGGTTCCTATACAGTAAAATCAGTTCAGTCGCACTCTCACAGCGAAAAGAAAAATGTGAGCCCTCACGGGGAGGGACACATATCCCTCCTGCTCCTGCCCATCCCCCCAGGACCACCAGCAAAAATCACTGTCTTACAGTGGAGGTCAAGATCCCCTTTTCCAGACCCTTTAATGCCCTAAAGAATTGAACCTGCGAAGATGATAAACACGGCAGCACCTTCAGCCAGCCGTTTAGTGTCTAACCTCTGTGTCCCCACAGTTACCACAGAGGGCACAGGAGCCGTGGACAGGCCCGAGTCGCCCTTCCCTCACTGTCCACTCCTCAGAGTCCCCAAGTGCTAAGAGCCCAGCTGGTGAACAAAAGACTGGCAGTTCAAATCCACCCCAAGTGCCTGGGAAGAAAGGACATACAGAAAGGGGATCGCTTTCCAAGACTGCATAGCCTTTTAACACCCTGGAGAGAGCTTGGGCGGCTTAGGCCATAGAGAGCCGTGCTTGGTGCCTGCAGAGGGTTCATATCATCCAGCACCTCTGAGAGAGAAAGACGCATAACCTCCTCCTGCACCGCTTACAGCCTCAAAGCCTCCGGAGGGCGAGCTGTGTCAGGTCTGACTAGAAGGAGATGAGCGTTCTGAGTCAGGAGGAGCACGGCCCTGACACACACAGGGGTCACCCCGAGTCAGAAGCCACGCAGTGGCAGCTGGCGTGCTGGCCCCTCGTCGGGCCTCCCCCCAAGTCTCGCTCCTTCCCGGCCCACCTCCCTGCTTCTGTGTCCCTTTCATTAAGACACCATCTGGCAAAGTCTCTGTGAGCCCCCACATCCCCCCCCGTCAACCATTTCCCGTCGACAGCTCCAGCACCAGCTTTGTTCCCAAACCACAGCCTGAACAGACGCTGAGTTCAGAGAGCAACTTGATGCATCGGAAGTTAACGGAGCCACGGAGCCTTCCCTCGAGCCACGGAGCCTTCCCTCGACCGGCTGCGAGAAGAGAAATGCTTTCCATGAGCAATGTTTTGCTTCAGCTCCAAGACGAGGAGGGTGAGGGGGCCACCGGGACATCTGAAAGGCTGGTGAGCAGAAACAGAGTCAGAGACACTGGCCTTCAGTAGCTGTTACCTGACCACCACCACCCCAGAGTCGGGGGTCCCCCTGCAGTGCCCACCATCACCATGTCACCTGAATACACATAACTAGGGCCAGTGGCTCTGACATTGGAACCTGACTTTGAATGGTCATGGCCAAGGCCTCAAGGCTGGACGTCTGTGCAGAGGAACTCAAACCCCACCTCTGTCCTTCCTAGATTTCTGCACTACTTCATCTCCCCCAGGGAAATCATGTACTCACTGACATTTACCCCCTTCCACTCTGAGCACTTGACCCCACAGGACACACAGAGAAAGGGGGTGCTGGGGTTCTCGGCAGGTCCCCTTATGGCATAGTCTGTAGGGTGGTGTGCTGCTAACCCAAAGGCACACAGTTCAAATCCACTAGAGGCTTTGCAGGGGGAGGAGGAAAAAAAACCCATAAAACTCCTCGCATATAATTAATAGCTTCAGAAAACCCACTGGAAGGTCAGCTGGAGTCAGGTCTGACAGGACAGCACTAAGTTTTAAGGGATTCTCTGTGGGCAGATCTCCTTTTACCCCTAGACTTGTTCCCTAGGATGAGAGGCCCTGGCCAAGCTGTACCCAAAACCTTTTACTCTTTTTACTTGACCTCTCCCTGGACCAAGCCACTCAACACAGGGCACTGTCATACCAAAACCCAAAAGCTGCCAAGCTCGCTGCCATGGAGTCGCGATGCCCTACAGGACGGAGCGGAACTGCCCTCTAAGAGCTTCTTCACAGCATGTTGTTGTATGTTGAATGTGCAGTTAGGAGCAAGGGATTCCTTGGAGAGGGACATCATGCTTCAAAAGGCGACGGGCCAGTGAAGGAGAAAAAGGCCCTGAATGAGAGGGACTGACACTGTGACCGTGGCAACGGGCTCCAGTGTGTCAGGGACGATGAGGAAGGCACAGCACAGGACAGCGTTCAGGTCTGCTGTCCAGAGGGTCACCTAACAACAACAGAGGGTTTCCCAGGCTGCAATCTCTAACGCTCTCCCACGGCCGGGTGATGGGCTTAAACCATCAACCATCTAATTAGCAGTCCAATTCCCAGTACGGTGACTTGAACACCTCCTCCTTGGCCTTTGCCATAAACTCCACTACCGTTAGGCCCATTCTGAGTCTTACCAACCCCTCATTGGTTTTCCAAGGCTGTAAATCTTGATGGGAAGGAACTCTCTTGCTGGTGGATTTGAACCACCAACCTTATGGAAAAGCAGCCTCATGTGATATGCACTATACAACCAAGACTCCTCCTGTCAGAAGTGAAATAACTAGGGGACTGCAAGAGATCTCAGGCCAAACTGGTTCACAGACTCCCAAGCCGCTGGTAGACAAATTCCAAGAGCAAGAGGCCTTCCAGAAATAAAATGCCAGTCTTTTCCACCCCAATCCTCAGGAAAAAAAAAAAGAAATGGGGGAAAAAAAGAAGAAAACTATTCTCTGTGGGGCTCAGTCAATGCTGGATAACCATACAAACTCAAGGTCAAAGCCCATTAACTCAGGCGCCACAAAGCATCGTCCATGACTCGAGCTGCTGCCCTTTTCGGGCCATAAGCAAATTAACAGCAAAACCAAGGGAAACCTTTCACCTGCTCAAGAGTGAAGGTCAACAGCTGGTCTGTAAGCTCAACTCAAATGGCAACATTTGTATTCAGGAACCGAAGCGATTATAAATAAGTCTCATCTATTTATAAGACAAATTCCGCTTCTCACGTCAATAGCCAAGAATTCTTTTCTTTTTCAAATGTCCTAGAACAGCTGTTGGAGCCAAGCTGATCTTTCAGGACGTGAGGGTACGAGTGTGGCGCTGGCGGTCTTGGCTATAAGCCCCTTTTCTGAGTGTGAAGTCACCCCCTAGATAGCACCCCGCTCTCTGTGTAATCCAGCGAGAACTCTCTCTCCCCTGGTGTGGACTTCATATTCAAAACCTGTTAGAACAAACATGAACCAAGAGATTAAAACAATCGTGCTGATAGATTGCACAAAGCCACCAATTACTATTTATACTGAGGAGAGAAGGCCCCTACATCCAGACAGCTGATCAAACACACCTGAGCAATGTTCCCATCGCCCGTGGACAATGACCTGGAGAGATTCACAGAGAGACCTCTGCAAGACTTCCAACCGGCTTGTTCCAGCTCAGTCCCTGTAGGGGCCACCCGCCTCCTCTTCATCGCACTGGCGTCACACTGGAACCAGCCCACAGCTGACCCACAGTGGGTTTCCAGAGGCAGGGAATTGCACAGTGGGAGATGACTGCCCGTCTCTCTTGCAGGGCAGCTGGTCGATTTGAACCTCCAACCTTCAGGTTGGCAGCACAACTCCCTACACTTTAGGAAGCTCTTCAGCGAGGAAGTAAGGCTCACCTGGGGCTCTCTGTAAGAATTCACCAGTTTTGCCGAAATGTAGTTCGGGTTTCATTAATCTGGGATGGGAGAGTGACTTCTCAGCAGGAGACAGATCCAGAATGAATCACTCTGATGCTCTGCTTAGAAGCTTGTTGGGCCCAGGGGAGGATGAATGAGAGCCAGCCAGCAGTGTCCACTATGCAGGAGCCAAGCCTACTGGCCACATGAACTTCTTCCAAGGGCACCCCGAATACACCCAACAGCATATCACACACTGCAGAGGGGGATCTGAGAGCAGAAAAGGCAGCCCATATGAAGATCCCTCAAACACAGATGAAGGACCACAAAGACATCAAGGGCCCCGGGACAGAAAGAGACATGTCCACTCAGGCATCTGATGTGTCACGCTGTCTCCAGACAATATCAAGGTTCACCATCTAAGCATTCAATGCAGTTAAGTGCTCCTGAATAAGCCTTCTGGAATCACTCCTGAGTTCAGTGTCTCAGGCTCGTGCGGCCCATACTAAAAGTCTGGCTTTTAATCTCATTGGCCCCAAAGCCTAGAAGCCACATTACCCGGGAATCTAAGGTAAGAAAGAAGACAGACCAGACCAGAAAGACAAGTTCAGCCTGCCTCCTGGAGCAGATGTTGCATCAGTGTAGAAAGAGCTTGGTCTAATCCTACCTCGCCAGGAGCCAAGAGAAGAAATGGCCTTGGATCCCACGTATTCCAACCACGTGCTTCCTATAGATGAGCAGAGGATTCAAACACCTGTCACACTGTCAAAGAAGCTCCTGCCCATCTCTAAGCCTCGCAGTCACAGAGAGGATAGCGTGGTGTGGGTGGTCACCTTGGATGCTTATTGGCATTGATCTCACTCCTCTACTGATAATGAATGGAGAGAGTCCATGGCATTCACTTACTACCACATGACCTGGCCTTGGCTTTGCTACTATTCCTAGTCTGCTTTCCTGAAAGCAAGTGTGATCTCATCCCCCGAGTTCAACCTGCCAGGCCTACATCAGCAGAGAGCTATCTACAACCAGGAGAGGAGAAAATAGACGAATGGGACCTTCTAAGAATCAAATCCCTATGCACATCCAAAAACTTCTCCAACAGACTAAAAAGGAAAGCCACGGACTGGGGAAAAATATTTGGTAATGACATTTCAGATAAGGGACTTATATTTAGAATGTATAAAATACTCAAGCACCACAATAAGATAAAGGTAAATAACCCAATTGAAAAATGGGCACAGGATATGAATAGACACTTCACCAAAGAAGTCATTCAAATGGCCAACAGGTACATGAAGAAATGTTCAAAATCCCTAGCTCTAAGAGAGACGCAAATCAAAACAACTATGAGATATCATCTCACCCCAATAAGAACAGCAGAAGGCTAAAATCACTGGCTCTCCCCAGCCCTCAAGCCATTCTGGTTTCACTTTGCCTTTGTACTTTGAAGCTTCTCAGCAAATTACAGGACAGAAAACTGGGACTTAGGGACATGTAGCCAGTAAATGGCAGATCTGAGCTCAAGCCCACCCCTGTCTTAATGTTCTTAAGAACTCCGTCCCAGGAAGAAGGGAGCTGGCCATATGTCAAAATTTCCTTCACTGAGCTTCCCACAGTCCTAGAAGCCTTGATCAACGTGCTGCTTTGTCAGTGGTGCAGGGTGAAGGTTGGATGTACTGGCATTTTCCTGATTACGTCATAAACCCACTGAAGGCCAGGTTCGTGATGGTCCTCCGTCACTTCTCCAGTTCCTGGCCCACTCAGACATATGGTGTCACAATGCATTTACAATGAAATCTGACATTCAAAGTCTGAACTTACAGAAATGTAAATAAGGGTCCGATTAGTCATATTACCAGGAGATTCTCTTCTTTAAGGAAGACTCCACAATCCAGTGCTGCTAAACAAAATATTTGGAAAGGTCTCTTTAGACACCCATGGCTTTGCCACAGAAATGAGCATGAGAAATACATCTACTGCACAGAGCCGGAAGATCCAGGCACGGAGGCCACAGGAAGGAATACTCACGAGGTAAGGCATCAGGAGGTCAGCCATGTAGACGAACGCAGCTCCGAGGGTGAAGCCAACAGCCACAGGGAAGAAGGCAAAGGAGCCGAAGCCTCCAGAGGACGTGGCCATCTCTACCGCCGGGGCCAGCAGGGACCAGTAGGATGCTGCTAGCATGACCTGAAAACAAGGAGAACATGCTATGCAATATGATTCAGTAGTAAAAGGAACAAAGTTCCAATACATGCTGAGGTGTGGGTGAGTCTTGAAAGCATTAAGATAACGTGAAAGCAGCCAGTAAAAAAAGGACAAACACTGTATGATTCTAATTCTATATCATGGTCTTGCTCTGTAGAGACAGAAAGTAGATTCAGGTTTGCAAGGGATGCTCTTGGTACCAGCAGTCAAGAAATCAGGAGACCTCATGCACTGGGCAGAACAAGAATCGATGCCTTCGAATTGTGGTGCTGGAGAAGAGTCTTGAACATACCATGGACTGCCAAGGAAACAAATAGGTCTGGCTTGGAGAGGGTGAAACCAACTGTCTCATTGGAGTCTAGGATTTTAATGCTCTATCTCATATACTTTGGGCACGTGGCCGGGAGGGACTAGTCCTTGGAGAAGGACATCCTGTTTGGAAGGGTGGAGGGACAGCACAGGGAGGAAGATCCTAGATGACATGGATTGATACAGGACTAGGGTAATGGGAGTAGATGTGTTGGAATTAGTGAGACTGGCTTAGAACAGGGAAGGGTTCAGAGCTGCTATACATTGCAGGTGACTTGACAGCAGGTAACAACAACAACAACATTGCATTGGGCAAGTCTGCTGTCAGGGACCTCTTTAAAATGCTGAAGAGCAATGATGTCAGTTTGAAGACTAAGGTGTGCAGGATTCTAAGCCATTGGTTTTCTCAATCACCTGCTATGCATCAGAGAGCTGAACCACACTTAGGATGACAGAAGTGGAACTGATGCCTTTGAGTTGTGGTGCTGGAGAAGAATACTGTCAAAAGACCAAAGAAAGATGTTCTGGAGAGAGTGCAGTCTCAGGGCTTCTTGGAGTTAATGATGACAAAGCTTCACCTTTCCCACCTTGGACATGTAGCTAGGTGAGGCGCTTCCTTGGAAAGGGACATCATAGTTCGAAAGATGGAAGGAGACAAAGATCCCCAACGTGATGGACTGACACAGTGGCTGTAGCAATGAACTTAAATGTGTCGGAGATGATGAGGACGGCACAGGATAGGGCAGGGCTCAGGTCAGCTGTTCCAGGGTCACTATGGGCCACACTCTGCTTGACGGCACCGAACAACAACAACAATGGGGAAGGAGGGAATGGGAGTTCTTTTGGAGTGAGGACATTGTTCTTGAACTAGGTAAAGGTACTAATTCCACAGCAGCACAAATGTCCTCAATGTCACTGAATACTGTACACTTTACAATGATCAAAACAACGGATTGCTTTGTGCATTTTACCATGATATAGAAAATGAGCAATAAATCATCATCAATCCAATCTCAGAAGACCAGAGAAAGGGTCTTGAAGGCAAGTGTTGGCCAGCTTGTCCCTTTATGGCCCCCGATGGAAGATGTCAAACGTCCTCCTACAACCCAGCGCCTGCAGACACACTGGGCCAGCAGGGGCAGCCCCGAGGATGCCAGATGGAACTCCGTGAGAGAGCTGACGACCAGCCCTGCCCTCATCACGCCGGGCAGGGGCTGCCAACACCAAGTCACCTGGCTTCCCCAGTATCAGAAAGGAAACGAGAAGTCCAGTCAAGCAAATGAAGTCTTGGAAGCGCTGGCATCCTCCAAATAAGGCACTGCTCAGACCTAATAAGCTCTATTTTCCTCCAAATAATAGGGGAAACTCAAGGGCGTATTTATGAAGAGAAAGAGGCAAATCAAAACAAAATTTTAAGACTCTTGTTAAAGGGCTACGACAAAAACACACACAAGCAAAACGGAGTATTCGGAATGTCTGCTTTCAGCGCTTAGTGTGAAGATCAATAGCTTATTTTTTTTTCCTACTAGTTTATTGCAAGCTTGGAAGCAGGAGTGGCATCCACTTCCACAATGGCTTGCCTCTGGAAACTCTATAAACAGTGCTCAGGCTTTTCTTTCATAGGGTCACCATGAGTGGTCTACGACTCGACAGCACCTAACAAAACTAACAAGGACAACACAGGGAGAGCCACGTTGGCCTAGTGGACAGAAAGTGATGCTACCAAGCCCAAGGGGGGTGATTTTATTCTGCGGCCCTCAGGCCTGGTTCAAATTGCTTTTCTGTCAAACTTTCTTCTAGGTGGTATAGCCCTGGTCCGTGCACTGCTGTACAGAGGTAACTTGTGGTCGCTGTGATGCTGAACGCTGTGACACTGATGTGTCAAATGCGAGAACAGTTACCCATGATGGACAGTATTTAGTGGAGCTCCCTGATTCAAACAAGCCTGAAAGCAGGAGTGGCATCCACTTCTGAAATGTCTTGCGTCCAGAAACTCTATTCTCAGTGCTCAGGCCTTTCGTTCATAGGGTCTCTAGGAGTCATCTACGACTTGAAGGCACCTAACAACAACTAGTTTATTTACAAAATTATAATACAAATTCGAACAAATTCTCTCCATTTCCCTCACCTCCCCCACCCATCAAATTATACAACTCAATGATTAATTCCCCCCTTCCCCCTGCACATCCACATCCCTCTGCTTCCAGCCTCTCCCAGGCCCCTCCTGGATCCTCATTCTACAATAACGGTTTTATACAATATTTATCCTTGTGGGACTGAGTTAGTTCACTCAGCATAATGCTCTCCAGTCCCTCTCAAGTTAGTTAATAAGTTACAAAGTTATTGCTCCTGCGTGCTGCATAGTACTCCATTGTGTGAATGTACCATCATTTCTCAATCCATTCGTTTGTGGTTGGACATTTGAGCTGTTTCCATGTTCTTGCAATGGTGAATAATGCTGCTATGAACATTGGTGGACAAATCTCAGTTTGTGCCTCAGTCCTCATATTCTCAGGGAAATTCCATAAAATGTCTATGTTTTAAGCCTCCACTGAGTTGATTCTGACTCTTAGTGCTCCTCCCTCTCCTCAGCTTCAGAGGCTGCAAATGGGAAGGCGCTGCCCACTGTTAGCGGCCTGGTACACTACACACTACCCCACCCGGGCTCCTGAGCTCCACGGCAACCCAATGGCCCCAGCGTTTGTGATGTGTTGCATGGCTAACTGAGAGGTTGACGGATCAAATCCAGCAGCCGCTCCACAGAAGAAAGGCAGGTGGTCTCCTCCTATAAAGATTTAAGCCCTTGGACACCTGATAGGAGGTGGTTATGAACCAAGGGGAGGTAGTGAGATTTCCTCACTGTCCCCCCAAAAGCAAGCTACATTCAGCTCACACCGAAATGCATTCACTCCTCTGACAAACAGTGGCTGAGTGACGCTGAAAACAGAGTTTTTCTTGGATGGTGGGAAAAAGTTGATACTGATTTTTCAGAGCTTCCTAGGTAATCCGTGGAGGAGAGGGCCTACGGCTGGATGGGCTTTTCAAATCTCTTTTCAAGTCTAATCGGGCTCTTTTCAAGTTGAACGGGGCATCAGGACACTGCCTCATCTGAACGCTTAGCCTCAAAGATGAAAGCCGGTGGATTCCCCAAACGTACAGAGCAAGCTAATGCCAAGCAGGTCACTGTGCCACCCCAGAGCGGCTGGCCCCATCTCCTGTCCCTGCCTGCAGAGCTGCTAACAGCTACTAGGAGTCCCTGCGTGGAGCACACAATAACCTTCTATAACAAACAGAAAGGGTGGGTGTGTCAATCTACCCTGAGATGCCTCAGAAGAAAGGCCTGGTAATCCCCTTCTGAAAAGTCGGCCACTGGAAAGCCTCCAGGGCACCGCTCTGCACTCACACACGTGGGGATGCTGTGAGTCGGAATCAGCTTGATGGCAACAGGTCAAAACTGCTGGGCTTTGTTTTGTTTTTTAAAAAAGAACCTACAAGGGAGCTCTGGTGACCTAGTGGCAAGAAGTTGCACTGCAATCCCAGAGGAACATGGTTCGAATCCACCAGATGCTCTGCTGGAAAAGGAGAGACAATCTCCTCCTGTATCAGTCAGATCTGATTTGACGGTACACACACAAAAATAATAAAAAAATTAAATTAAATTAGTTAGTTAGTTAGTTATTTTATGTGTGTACCATCACACTGGATCTGACTGGTACAGGAGGCGATTGTTCCTCCCTCTTCAGCAGAGCATCTGGTGGATTTGAACTTTGCACCTCTGGGATTGCAGTACAGTTTCCTGCCACTAGGCCACCAGAGCTCGCCAAAATTAAATTAAATTTTTTTTAAAAAAAAGAAGCTACAGAGAAAAGATATGGTTTAAGTTAGTGCCTCTCCTCTTGACAACATGCAAAGCGTCAGAGAAAGAGTCTGGAGTAAGTTTTAGCAGTAACTGATGAGATTGTTCCACACACGTTTCCCAGCACAGCGTTATAAACTACTCTAAAGACGTCCATGGCTGAAAGCGTCTGGCAGCTGATAAACGGTGGTAATGATCCTGTTAAACACTTGTCTCTGCGAGATAAATCAGACCTCACCTAAACCCACTAACAGCCCCCGTACCAGCCGCCAAGGTTCTAAATCAGGCAACTAGGTAACGTGTGACGGTGGCAGAGCCCTGGTATCTCACTGCCTTATGTGGTGGGCTACTAACACTGAAAGGTCAGTGGTTCAAATCCACCAGCTGTTCCTAAAATGGGATGTTTGGGTGTGTACATTTACATCACAATTAAAAAAAAAAAAAAAAAAAGATATTTTCTAACTTTGGATGTTTGATATTATATTAGCTTTAATACAAGCAGGTTAAAGATTTTCAAAATAAAAAAAAAAAAAAAAACATATGCTAGAAGTTAACCATAAGGTGAGCCTGATCCAAGCCATGGCCTTTTCAGATGAATCTCCTGTGTCTGTGAAAGCTGGACAACAAATAAGGAAATGAGAAGAAAAACTGCTCCCTGTGAATCGTGGTGTTGGTGAAAGAGGCCTGGCACAACCACGGATGGCTGAGAGAGGGCACAAATCTGTCCTGAAGGAAGGACAGCCAGTGTGCCCCTCAGAGGCAAGGATGATGCAGCTTCGTCTCCTGTTCGGTGGGTTACGTCATCAGTCCTTGGAAA